CCCCGGTGGGTGGGGAGCCCCTGGCTGGGCAGCGCCAGCACCCAGACGGCTGCTCACCTGGAGGTGCTGCTGCAGGAGCTCGGGGCAGGACTGGAGCAGCGGGTCCGAGATCCCCAGCAGACGCTCCACCAGTCCCCGGTGGTGCAGGATCTCAGCAGAGAGCAGCTGGAAGACAGAGGCAAGAGGGTGCCAGGTCCCGGGTGCCAGCCCGTTAGCACCAGGGAGCAGTGTGCACAGCTGCCGGGGAGCTTAGCCACGTGCACCCGCACCCAGGAATATAGACACCAGGAGAGACCCGTTGGCTGGCCAGTCCTCTGCCAGCCCAGACATCCCTCTGATGGGATGAGCTGCCAAGCCCCAGCTGCTCTCCGTACCCTGATCCTCAGAGAGTGCTCCTGTCCAGGCAGGTGCAGCTTGGGGAGCACACGTGCAGGCCAGGCCCAAGGACAGACCTCGCCAAGCCTGGAGCTTTGAAGACTTCACTTGCTGCTCCCTGCGCCCAAGAGCTGCCCCCAGGGCTTTCCCTCTTGTGGCTAAGCTGTGTTGACCACCACACTTTGCCACTTTGCATTTGCGTGACTTTTGACATGAGATGGGGAGTGGGAGTCTGAGGGAGGGCCATTGGTGCGCAGGAATCGGGGTGCACACATGCAGGGTGGGTGTGCACGGCGGCCACTGGGGCACGCAGGGGTTGGGAAGCTGCAGAAGGATGCGGGGAAGGGAGGAGGCCAGCAAGTCCGCGCACATGTGTGATTCAGTCCGTGCATGCACAGCAGGAGCGCAGCGCGGTGAGGACATGAACCCAGCATCCCTGGCGCTCGCTGCGTTTGCTGCTGGCTGCCGCTGGAGGTGCAGGACACCTGCAGGGTGCACCCCACACAGCCCGCTGCGCCCCAGAGCAGCCCTGCGTACCCACCTTCTGATCGGAGAGCTGTGTGCGGAGGGCCTGTGCATCCAGCTGCACCTGGCTGATCTCCTCTAGCCGCCCACCGAGCCCAGCCAGGTGGGAGAGTTCAGAGTCCAGGATCTGCTCGAACTGCAACAGGGACAAGAGCCGTCAGCCCGGCTGGGAGACACGGCACGTGGGCTGCGGATGCCTCTCCAGGGCACAGCCTCCTTAGTGCGTCTGCTGCTGGTTACAGCAGGACCTTCCTCCCCAGGGTGGGCACAGACCCCATGCAGCAGCGTCCCTCCAGCCCCTTCTCCTCCGTGTCTCCCACCCCACGCAGGTGGCAATGTCCCAAGTCATGGGGCTGGGGGGGTTGGAGGGGGCACAGGGGGATGGTCCCCAGGGCCCCCCCATCCTGCACCTTTTCTCTGTCGCTTGTGCTGACCACCAGCGCCTGGTGGTCGCCATGCTGGCTGTCCCAGGAGGCCAGCTCCTTCTCCATGCGGCCCAGCCAAAGGGCCAGGTCCTCCTGGGCGGTGCCCACGCGGGACGAGGCCTCCAGGGTCTGCTCCAGTCCCTGCATGGTGTCGGCGCTGCTCTGGCCCACGATGAGGTACCGCATCCTCAGGGACTCCATCTTCTCCTGTGCCAGCTGGGCCTCCTCCCCTGCGGCAGCACGGCAGGCGGCCAGCATCAGCGCTGGCGGCGGGGCCAGCGCCTGCCCACCCACGCCTTCGCCCCTCCTCGGCGGGCGTGCATGCCCGGCACGCTGTCCTGCTCTTCCCCGGACCTGTCCCTCCTCTGCTCCCAGCTGCCGGACCTGCTGGGAGGGAGGTGCAACCCCCCGTCCGCTCCCGGCCGAGCCCCG